AAAAACGAATACGTTAAAAGAAACAAATACTAAGAAAATTTACAACTTTAACTTTATTAAAAAAACATATATGTATAATTTATATTTCTGCAGATCGAATCATGCAAAGATGGACAACAAGACAATCATCAATGCAAGACCATTACTGTCTATCCTCAATTTAGTTCGGGAACACAAAAAGTGTATAGCGATCATATAAGAGAAGGCGATCAAGATATCTTTTTATTAAGAATTAAAAAGAAAGCAGAAGATTCTGAACAGAAAAATAGAAATGTCGAACTCGAACTCAGAACACCTAAACCGCCGCGAATACCGTCACCGTCGCCAATACCGTCATCTGTATTTGCATCTGAAGTTGCACCATCGCAAATCAATCACGACATAGAAGATGAAAAGAAATCGAATGAGAAAATTGTAAAGCAACCAATCAGCGTAAAAGAAAAAAAAACAAACAAAAGAAAAAAGAAATAATTTGATATCTTAAAAGTAACATTATATGTATTAATTTATTTAAAAATCAAATATCAAATAACTCAAAATAAAATAAAATGTAATTCTGTCAATTACATAAAGATTTAATTGTTGCCAACTGTCGAAATCGTCAATAAAATAAGTTAATTAAGAGCTAATGAGAGTTTTAGCATGATAATCAGTGCATAATAAATAATATTGCGCACTTTGATTACTGTGCCAAAACTCTTGAGCCCTTACTTTGTTTACATAAAGATTTAAGAAAAAAAAATATAACTATTATTAATAATTTTAAAAAATTATATTTTTTTTTAATATTTTATATTTTATAAAGAGATAATTTTGTATATCTATTTATTGTTCAGTTTGCCTAATTCTTTCGTAAAGGATAAGCTTTTATTTTATTTAGATGACTACAGCTTATTGTTAGAGTAAAAAAAAGTATTTTTGATATTAGTAAACAATTAAATAGACCTAAACATTTCCGGGTGTTCAAAGAATATAAATATGATGTTAAAACTTTAAATACAAAGCGCCTTCCCGGTCCGAGTGTTAAGAGAATTTGGGGGGATTATTTGTTTCAGATTGATTATGTGAATCCGATAATTTCATCGGCTCTCAATTTATTTCTAAATATTAATTCAATTTAATTGAATGTATATTAGTTAGTAGTTCAACATCTTAACACTCGGACCGGGAAGGCGCTTTGTATTTAAAGTTTTAATATTTATATAGACGGTTTTGTTTCCAATCATATTATAAATATGATGAATTTGGATCGAATCTATCGGTAGCCGTTGATAACAATCGGAAGAAAAGGCCGGACTTCGTTTACTATTATGGAATCTTCAATGAAATGCACATTGTATGCTTAATACGAAGTATACGTCCAGCTTATTCACCGTTCAACCGAGTAGCCATGCAAAATTACTTTGTTATGGTTGACCAGATAATCCTCTCGTTTTTGACTCGTTTCTTTCATTTTTTTTCCTTTCTATCCTACAAAGAGCACAGCATGCCATTGACACAGCATGCCATTGAAGGCTGCATTGTTAACGACTATATTATCATAATTGCTTGCTAATTTCTTCGCTAAGTTGTAAGTGAACGAGTTACTTATCAAAGAGTATCGTATATATTAAAATTTATAACTTTGCATATCTGTTTTCTGTTACTAGATTAATAAAAAAATATGCAAAAAATATGCGATAGGAATTAATTTTGCACATTTTAATGCAAATATTTAATAAGAATGCATGTTATTACTCAAACGCGGAATAACAAATTACAATAACATCAAAATTAATCGTAACTTATTAAAAAGTGACTTATTATAATTATTTTGGAGCTATTTTAACATGATTTTGTTATGATGACTTGTTTTACTTTTAAGTATCTATTCTGCTTAGCGTTATTTCTACTTAATTCATAGCTTTTCTTCTTCGAATAAAAAATTAATTCGTTGTTGTATATTACATAATGCAATATAATACGGATGTGTGTATTAAGTTTAGTCATTCTTCTTTTCTAAAAACGATTTAGAAGGTACTCGAAACATCTTAAAGTGTCCCCATATTTTCTTGGCATTGTCACCGATTTTCTCGAGATCGTCACAGTCGGCGATCACGAATATTCCGCGAGCGTCGTCCGCGACGTCGGCCGTGGTGTCTATCCGATGTGTAAAGTTAAACTCACAAAAGAGGAGAATAGATGTCGCGATTATTGGCGTGTAGGAGAAGAGCAGGCTTCACAATATACGCGGGGACGCGGGAGTAAGAAAATGCGAGGGCGGTTTCGTAATTGTGAATGGCGTGGGAGTTCATAAAGGTGTCGTTCACATTCTGTGTGGTCGCGTTTAAGGGCGGTGACAATGGCGCTGACCAATAAATTAGAACACCACGAGGAAAGAGCGCATTCTCGATGCACACGGAGAGAAACGGTGTGACGAGCACGGTCGCGGCGGTGAGTGAAAAGCTACTCGTTTTTCCTAAGCCGTGACGGGCTAAAGAGGAGCCTGCGGTCGCCGATGAATGGAGCGACAAGTGACCACGATATTGTACGGAGGATGACTGTCTGCGAGCTAAGGAGAGGATCTCGACGCGCGAGAACTGACGTCTTCGGGATGAAAGAACTGCGATAATTCATGGGCCACTTGTGAAAAACGCGTAAAATCGAGATATTTTTTCGCACGCCCGGACACAAACAGAATTGAACATATAAAGGAGCTGGTAGCATCTCGATTAAAGAAAACTCTCGCACTGCAAACATTGATATTGTTCAGATAGGTAAATGTTCATTATGAAAATAGTAATGGATAGAATACTCGTAATCTTCTTGAAATAACTTCTTTTGAGTAGTTATTTCTTTTTCTATTCACTTCCCTTGATTAAATTTTTTATACTCATTTCTATCAACATTAATTAAGTTTAATCTCGATTTAACTTTATTTTTCTTCTAATTTCTTATAGACCTAGAGAAAATAAAAAGTAAGTTAAACCAAGATAAAAGTTAATTTAAAAATGATCATTAGTTAAGTTATTATTTTTTTAAGTAAAAGTTCATAACTTTAAATATAGAAATATTTTCTGTTATTAATATCATTACTAAACAATTTCTGTAATTATAAATTACAATTAAAGATCACATAGAAATTAGCAGAATAATTTAACAGAGTATAAACAAAATAATACTATAAGGGAAGGTTCAATTTTGAATTATAATAAAAAATGATAACGTGAAAAGTATTCTATTGCTTTCTTTTTCGCGAATCAGTAAAAAGAAAGCAAATTTATTTTTGGCTTGGTATAATTCTCCCGTTTTCCGTTAATAATATTAATTGTCGCAAGCAGTAAAGGAATAAATAAATCAACAGGCACGTTCGCCGCGGGCGGTAACGCGCACGATTATTCAGGGTGGTCCACCGATTGTGGCATCGGAAACTGCAGCTAAAGTTGCTTGATCCGTGAACGAAAGATAGGGGGAAAAGCCGTAATATCATCATTATGTTACGTCACACAGATGCGCAGATCAGGGGATCTCGAGACCGCCGTTTTTATATTGCGGTTACTGTGCTATTGTGTGTCCTGATATCCACAAAGGACCCCAGAAGAACTCCTGCGGAGAGAAGGTCTATAGCATAGCAGAATTACTGATTGGCTGGTTCCCCTGTCAACAGTTATGATAATCTGTACATACTTCCTGTATATCTTCCCTTTCCGATCACCTGTCAATTCTGTGAAGGTATTCCTGCAGAAATTGAAAAATATGTCACACGAGTAAGTCGATCATTACTTTAGTTCAAGGAATACACCTGTCAAAAGAAAGTCAAAATTATTTTATTTTGACGTCATGAAAATTAAAACGGTTATCATACAAATTAAAACGATTTTATTGAAAAATTTAAAAATATCACACAAAATTAGAAATTAAATTGTATTTAACCATAGAATATGAACATAGTCTATTTAACTATGACAGAAATAGACAAGGTAAATATGTATATCATGGTGGAAAGTAGTTAGAGAGTCGATTGAGGTGAAAATTACATAGTAAACAAATTTACTAGAATATTTATAATTCAATTGGTCAACACTTACAATTAGTAAATTTACTCACTTTTGTAATTTTTATGTCATTTCAAGATACAATCGACTCTCTGATGTGCTGATTCTCGTGACAACTTTCATACGGTTTTGCGCAGATTCTATAGCTGTGTTCCAAAATTCACTGCCAGTGCTGAAAATGTATAGTGTATGTAACGTAAACTGTAGATTTCAGCGTTGGCAATAAATTTTTGAACACAGCTCGAATGCGATCATTTAAACATTTGCACCGCGGTAATTTTAATATGACTTGAAAGACCAAAATGAGTATTTACTAAATAAAAATATGTAAATATAATCATCAAAAAAAAGAATTCAGAATTATACATTTTTATCACTTCCCAAAAGAGAAAGCATTAATATTAAAGTAGGAAGAATCTTGTGGAAAACCATTTTTTATTATGACATAACGCTTAATTCAAATAGTATATATAATAATAACTGCGACAATATGGCGGTATACGGTATCACGTTCTTATTGGCTTAGAAATGAATGCACACATCTGAGTTTCTTTTACGATAACCAATAAAAAATCTAGCGACTTTTATTTTTCTACGATATGAAATGTATTTTGAGTAAAAAAATGTTTTAAATTTTTCTTAACTTTAAAATTACTTTAAAAAATAATTCAATTAATATTATTTTATTATAAATAACTATAAAATTATTATTTTTATTAAAATATAGGAAAATATTTTACATTTTGTCAATTTATTTAATATGAAAAAAGTTAGTAATATATAGTAAATTTAGTCTGTTTCTGCTACGTACTTTAATAATTGCTATTTAATAATTTAGCTCACTACATAGTATAATTAGAAATATAAGGTATGTACAATAAAATTGGCATAAAAATAAATGGTTGTCGTTACTGAAAGTGGATATGTATCAGCTGTCTATTCATCATTCCTAAATAGAATTTTGTAAAAGATTACCAGTAATTGTTAACTACATGTAAAGTGACAGCGAGCAATAAATCGTTCGTAAATATGAGGGAAAATGTTGGCAAGTCATGCTGGAATCACTAATAGTCTTGACAGTGCTGAATTGCATTTTTATGTTCAGTTCCACAGTTACAACCTGCGCATTGTGGTAATTATTACAAACTGCTCTTTTTGTTGCAATTGTGCGTGACTGTTGTAAACTGTAAATGGTTGTCTCGGCATTATTCAAGGGACATTGGCATCTGTAATATTCGTGACAAAACGCGCTCTTTGTACTTCCATTTTATTTATTTTCCTTATACCGAATAAAAAACTTCTTCAAAATAAAAGAAAAAACAAAAATAGCTGTGGGAACTATAAACCTATTTAAAAAAAACAAACAGAATTGTAAATTACAATTTTTTGTTACCACACAGGTTATTTCTTCGCATAATAAATGGCAAAGTACGATTTAAGTATACGTAATATTGTTTTTATAAAATATTAGGTTGAGTAAAAAGTCATCGCGTATTTTTTAGCTCAAAGTTGTATATACAATATCTTCGTCAATAATGAATGAAATTCAAATTTAAAAAAAGGGTTTTAAAGCTTGAAATCTCTACTTTTAAAAGCTTATCACATTTTTTAAGTTTATATGAGTTTGATAATTTTTACATACCAAAAACTACGAGCTGAAAAAGACGAAAAATTTTCTTCTCACTTTGTGAATTTGTAACGTGTCCAAAACGAATTTGAGAAAATTTTTGATTACCTATCGTGAAAGCTTGATACTTTCCCTATCCTAATATTCCTAATATACAGGATATAGTAACGCAAGAAATGTGTATAATGTTTTATTTAAAAATTAAAAATTTTAATTCGTTAAAGGAATATAAATGTCAATTCGCAAGATGATGCAATCAATTAGCATGATAGCAAATGCTATATATATTTACTACATCTTGCATGATATTAAGAATGCTAATATCATGCAAGATGTAGCATAATTGCAAATGCTATATATATTTATCAAGAGATTGTTTAATATATACTTGCACATACATTTTGCGAATTGCCTTTTATGCTCTTTTAATGAATTAATTTGACTTTGTTCGGATAGCTAATAAATTGTTTATAATAGTAATTAAAAATTTATTTTATTGACATTGATAAATTTTGGCTGTCGTGCGCGCGCACATCAGCACTTAATACATATTAAAATTATATATGTCATTAATAATTTTGTTGCGCATCAGGTGGCAATATCAAGGTCATCGTTGTTGTCCTAGGAAAACTACTCAACAAAAATTCGATTCAAAATCGAATAATGATACTTTGCAAACTGCCAAAAAGTCAGAGAAATCAGATTTTGACGGCTATGCTAAAATTGTTAGCAAGTCTGGTACAAATGGTAGCAAACACAGAAATAAAAGAAGCCAGAAGAATAGATCTAAAGATCTAGGATATTAAAAGAGAAGCAAACAGAAAATACCATTCACATAAAAAAAATTGTATTTTATATTACTGCTTTTTACTTATTTTCTTATTTTTATGTTGCGACTATTTATATATAATATGGCCTTTAATATATTTTTTAATATTAATTTACAACTTTTTATTGTGTATATTGAATATGCATTTTAAAGATGGATTGGAAGTAAGAGGCTATCAGAAGCTTCTCAAACGATAAATAATACAAAATCGACGATCGTAATGGAGTTTTCAACAGTCCAAAAAGTTATGCAGATTGTTGACAACGATCTTGATATTAATTCAGTAAGAACTCCTTTCAAAGAAATTGTCATTCAAAAAGATACCTCTAACAAGAAGCGTGATTATAATGTTGAGCAAAATTTCGAGGCTAACGTAACTACTACTGACTTTTAAATAATAAAATTTAATAAAATATCTAACATTTCAAAGTTTTTAGTCTTATTTGGCGTGTTCAAGTTTATTTAAAAGAAAACACAAATCTAGACAAATAACTCTTCTTAAATCTCTATCGGCAATGTAAAATTCTTAATCTTTGTCTATAATCTGGATCTTCGAAGTCAGGAGACCTTCAGTGCAGATTGTTTCGTACTGTATAAAAGTAAAAAAAATATTTCTACATACTCGTACTTATGAAAACTTTAATAGTTTTTATTATCACAGCAAAAGTTAGATTATATTTTACTTATTCTTTTATGCATTTAAATTTATTTATTAATTTATCTAGAATTCACAATAAAAAATTAACTGTTCTTTTTAAAGTCTAATATTGCAGAGAATTAATGAATACGGGTAATTTAAAAATAGTAGATATAATATTTCTTTGATACTTCTTAATTGATACAGTTATTGGTTTTATTGTTAGAAGTTATTCAACATATTCTTCATTGTTCGACGTTTTTATTTCGATATTACAATCCACTTTTATTTTTAATTCTTGATGCCCCTTGTTTTTACCTCAAGATCTTTTATAAACATGGTATTCGCTTTTGATTACTTTTAAGTTTGCATTTGTACTATTCCTCTTGTTTAAAGAATCATCCGACTTGTAATTATTTGAATGTTCAATTTGTTTGTTACATATCTGCGAGATTTCCTTATTCTTTTCTGTACACCAATGCAGGTTCTGACATTTTCCTGATTGAGTGCATATTTTTTCCCTATGATGCAATCGACATTCTTGTTGATCTTTTCGATTATATTCACAACAAGAAGAATTTTTGAATCTCCGCCGCTCATGATCTGAGTCAGCTCTCAAGCATTTCGGAAAATCATGCGAACGTATTCTTCGATGTTTCTGCTTTGGCTTTCTACGTACGCAACATTCGCTCGAATCCACTCTTCTAAGATTCTTTGAAAATCTTGGAAAACTGAGAAAAGAGGAATAATTTAACTGAAGAAACACACACAGAACAAACATGCTTCGACACACTTGCATCGTTTGCAATCCACGATTTTTACGAGCTCGTACCATACTGAAAAGAGGATACACCAGATGCATGTTATGCAAGCGCTGTTGCATATGGTAATACAATCCACCATCTCGCGAGAAACTTCACATTTTGTGATTTACGATGACGTTTACAGGTTCATATCTCAATTGATAAACTTAATTTTTTTAGATTTTATAACAAAATTAACCCAATTATCAACGTCGCAAATTGATATATGTATGTATATAGATGCATACAATAACAACGTATAGTAACGATTAACACATGAAGTATAAGTTAAGCCTATCAAGCCTGTCAACTGCAACACTAAAAATATACATAGTGTAATTTCATCATAGATCTTTTTATGAATTCCATGACCTAATTCCATTATGGAGCTAAAAGATGGAGCTAAAAAATAAAGAAAAATGAAGGAAGATAGAGCTAAAAGAAGACGGAGTTCTCGTCAATTTCATGTCACATCGCGAAATGTAAGTATCACTATAATTTTTTAATGCAATCGTTAATTTCCAAATGAACTTGGGATGTTAAAGATTATCGCGTCATACAGCTGTGTTTGTCTTTGATAAGCTCTTGCGCGTCAAGAGTAAACAATTTAACCTACTTATTCTTGCATTCCTTCAAACTATGTAATTTGTTAATTTTTAATATTTAATCGGAAAACTGTAGTTTAGTGCACTTTGAGTATAAATAATAAATTATATCCAGCTAAATTTTATATTCATGCCTTAAAGATGTGGTTGATTTTACTATGCATTTGCTGATAATATCGTATTATAATGTTACGCTCCGCGTCGGGCAGGATAATCTAGTCTTTAAAATTTTCTTGCGAAATCTTGTAATTTTGTGTTGATATTTTCATAACCGGATGGCGCATCGATTACCTTAAAGTATTTCTCCGGCTACAATTGCGCTAAAAAATTAATTGCGTACAACCTACAAATATGCCTCTCCTTGCGTGCTCTCTGAAGAGAGAAACTTTTGAGTCAAACGTACCATAGTGGAAATAATAGAGTGCGTTCCGAGTTACGCATGAAGCGCATGATATATCGTTTTATCCTTCTTTATTATTTGATGAACATCAAGGACAAATGATGTATTATGCGCTTCATGCGTAACTCGGAACGCACCCATATACTTCCACCATGATACACGCATAAATGTCGTATCTGTATACACGAAAACACTAGTCCGCATTGAAGACAGTTGAAATGTCATGACAACAGTATGTCCCTGTACTAGAAGAATTCCATCAGATTACAAATTTAAACTAATTCAGAAATGACACTGGTAAACCTCCCCATTTTTTAAATAAGATTTCTATAATATTTCTACATTACATATTTATTTATTTTTTAAATCTGTAAAAGATTTTTGCCGCAAAGTATTAAAACGTTGCTTCGGCAAAGCTTGCAGTATCCAAATTTCAAAAAAAACTGTAGTAACTCAATTTCTCGGAGAAATACCTTAATTGCAAGTTACACTAATCTATTGGAAAATTTATAAACACGGTACAGATATATAATTATATTAATTACTTTAATATAACTCTCGTTCACTTTGCGAACTAGTTATGAAATAAAAAGTAATAGTAATAATTAAACAATGCTTTAAACATTCATTTTTCTTCAGTTAATGATTTGCTTTTAAGATCTAAATCAGTATTAATTTTACAATTTCTATCTTGTTACACTAATAATATTTTAATGATTGTTTAAGGTTTCTGTTTATTCACCATTACCTCAGTTGCAGTTTATATTAGCGATATACTTATTAAATATTGAGAATATAATTATGTTATTAGGATATTATTCCAGATTGTGACATTAGAAGCGAGAAAATACATAAATGTTTATATGTGTTTAATTATGTATATTAAACGTTTTGATAGAATTAATGTTTTAGTAGAGCAAAGTACAAATTCTTCCATAGATCGCTTGTTTATCTCAGTATATGTTTCTTCAAAAAGTCTCCCAAAATTTATTACCTTACAAAATGAATAATTGTAATCTATTGATTTAACGTGTAAGCTGATCACGTCAGCGAAATTTCGTTACGAAAACATCGAGACAGACAGTTCGACGTTCTCTATTTGATCACGCATGTATTGGGTGTTAAGAGCCTGTATACGTGAATATTTTTCATATGCGGCGTGTTATATGTGTGCAATGTCTGAATGGTGGGGAACTTATATGTATGCAACTAGCACGAGGAGGAGAGGAATCGTTTTGCCTTGAGTAGATATAAATCCTGAGCGGACAGGAACTGCGGAAGATATACTTCTTCATTCGTCAAGTTGGCCTTCGTAATGCAACATGTATGAATTTTGCCTCATGTCTATGTGATTCGCCATCTATTGCAAGGTAAGTGTCGTAATATCTAAGATCGATCTTTGAAATATGCTTTCTTTTTAGTCTATAAATAATCAGCAAAATACAAAATTGCAAATATGTATTATAGAAAATTCATAAAACCATTCTTTTAATTCTTCGATAAAATTTGCTTTTTAAAAAGGGTTTATGAAAAAAAGTACAATTGCATATCTTATCTTTTAGAGAATAAGATTTACATATAGAATTTAAAAACCTTTTTTTACATTATCTTTATAAAATTTATTTTTATTACATAGACTGTAGATTAAAGAAATTTTTAAAATGTTACTTTATTAGCTTTCCAATCAGGCAAGTTTAAATTTCACATTTATTCAATCAAAAGAAGGGAAATGTACCATCATTCATTTTATATCTTCATTCTCATATTTCATAATTATCTCTTGTCTAATATAGTTATTCCTACATCAACTCATATTTACTTGTTTATCTTCTCGAAATTCTACTACTAGTAGTAATTCTACTACTATTCTATTCTTCTCCAACATAAAATTTTTCTCATGTATCTCACTCTATGATTTTTGCCGGTTTATTAGCAATATTACTTGCAGTTGTAATATTGCTGATAAACTTCATATAATTATATGAAAATTCAATCATATAAAGTTGCAATTCTTATGCTTTGGTTGAAATTGCTAGCAAATTATTTAGAGTTTAAATTAGAAATTTATAATGTTTTTATTCCAACACTCTTCATAACATAAAATGTTATTATAATTATCAAAAAGATCAAAATTAATTAGTCGATTATGCTCATATTATCCTTTTTTTTCGCAGCCAAGTTATTATAATAGCGAAAATGTATTGATTAACAATTACAAAATATTTCAACCATTTTACTTTATTGCTTACATAACATGAAATTTAAAGATTACAAATTTGAAAACCTAAAAATTGAAAATTTAATTTATTATAGTGCTAATTTAAATTTTTTAATTTAATTTTTTAATTAAAATTTAATTTTATTAAAAGCATAATAAATATGTTTAAATTTTCCATTTTTTGTAAATTATTCGCGATAACAACGGAGAATTGCCATCAACTAATCAGTATTCAATGAACTAATCGGTTCAAAAAAAATGCGCCTTCAAAATTTGGAAATAATTTGAAATGAGGTTATCCGTGAGATCGAATTCATGTCACGTATGCACTCTCCTTTGCGTTTCTCTGACTCGCCCGTGTACAGTGTTATTTCCGATTATGCCTCCTCACCTTTGTTTGTTAAGCACATATTTTAAAAAGTTAAATATCGTTTACATATAGCGCCGAGACTGAATGGAAACGTCTTTGCATCAATAAATAAATTGCAATATAATATGAAAAATGCGCATAATTACCTGGATAATACGGCTAATTTATATAAATTATGATGATTTCTGCAGAAATATGTTTAAATTAATGATACTAGCAACAGTAGAAAAGCAAATAATATCTAAATTATACTTTTTCTACATTCTGTTTGATACTTCAAAATTCTTTGATGTCTTTGCTATCAAACTCCGTTTATTATGGTATTTGTAATTTGTGATCAAATATATTTGTTCGTCAAAATTATAAAATCAAACTGCTAAAAGACGTATGACCTAGTGCCATCTTTACTTGTTCTGACAGGAAAAATGTGAAAGTAAATGATAGATGTAAGTAATCCCGTACAATCCAGAAAACATCAATGATTAGAGAAATTTTTTAAAAATAAATGTTGCAACACTGCAGCAAATTCATTATTTTAGTGCTTTATATGTGTTGTAAGTTAGCTAAAGTGTCAAAAATTAAAAGTGTAAAAAAATTACAAACTTGCTAAATTGTAGCCTAAAAGTTTGTGTGTGTGTGTGTGTGTGTGTGTGTGTGTGTGTGTGTGTAAAATTTTGTACTCAATAATAAAATAATTATAATAGTAATAAAAATAAAATAAATAAAAATAAAAATAATTTTGTGACTGAAGAATAAATCAAATCTAACAAGTAAAATGTCTATATGAGCGTTGTGTGTAAATAATAAATTTATGAGACGATAAAATAATTAGCAAACAATTAGAATGTATTTATCAACAAAGTTATCTGCGAACGTTTTAACTTTAGATTTAAGTTCTCCTTAGTGTCAAGTACAAACTATTGAGTCCTCTTTAATCTCAGTGTAGAAGTGAAGTACAAATAGGGTAAATGTTACTTTTTAATTACTTTGTCGTTACTTTTTGTAGTAAACAATTTGATGACGGTGTTATAATTTTTTATGACGGGAATACTAACTAACTGTAAACGTTACGATTGTGCTTAGATTAGAAAAGTCACTTTGAAAAGTAACTTGTCATCATTACGCGTTACTTGCTGAAAAAAGTAATAAATAATGAATAACAAGTAACTCATTACAAATTAGGAATTTTTTCAGTAACGAATGATACTTTCAACCCGTTACAAGTAATGATTGATTTCTCGAACTCTGACGTCATCATGACCGTCATAAAATATTTACAATGTCATTATTAAATTGTTATTATAACGATTAACAAAGTAACGCGTTACTTGCCAAATTTGAGTACAAAACTACTAAATATAATGAATAATAGTCAAATTATTAAAAATTCAGTAATTTGTGCTTGATTGCCACAATGAGAACTTAATCCAGAAAACATTTGCAGTTAACTTTGTTGGTTCAATCCCCCCGTTTGTAAATTATATTTTCCCAAAACAAATTTCCCAGGAACTAAAGATATTTCAGAGAATGTATGTCCTAAGGATGTTTTCAGGCAGGACGTTTCTCGGATAAAGTGTGTACAGGTTATTGCCTTATAAATATGTTATTTACGCATAGATATTTTCTACTCACATTTAATAAAAAAAAAACTTATTTTAATAAAAATAAATTTATATGATTTTTC